GATAAATTATGTCCCATTATTACTAGTTGGTGGCTCACCTACTTCCAGGTGTCTTGATAGGAGGAAATCAGGTCCGGACCTCCCTGTGGCTTCCACCTGCCACTCTCAGCTGCACTAATGCTGCCTCCCCCATTATGTCCCAGTGGGTCACGGTTGCTAATTGCTAGGACCCCATATGGGCCCCCACCGACTATGTTCTTATCACGTCAGCAATCACCAGATGTCGCTCTCGAGGCGGTCACGACACAAAGCAGAGACCACAAGCAGTCTCAGTTGGCAACTCTTTATTATTGAACATGGCTGACTTATACACTTTCCAATTGTTTATGCATCTTCTACCCTAACTATTGGCCATAATAAGTCAACATAATACTATTGGTGAAAAGTTATAGTGACTTCAACTAACTTTCTAAAAATACTTCGTCCAGCTGCAAGGTTCTCTTATCTTTCTTCTCTTGGTCTCCTTGGTTACAGCCTTGGAGAGAGCTCCTTATCAGCTTCTTCTTACTTCTCAGCTTCTTCTCGCTCCTTTAGCTAACAGGCCCGATGTTAGCCCCTTCCACAAGCGTGTTTTATTGTTCGGAGCTTTCTTTTATAGGCAGTTCAAAACTCCAGGGTCTAGACAGCTCAGTGGTCTGATCTTTACGCCCCCCAGGTCCTGGACCAGTGATAAGCTTGCATCTTAAGGAAGGATGTTATTGGGTGAAGCCCCTGTCAGTCAGCCATGGGGTCGGTTTATGGAACCATGCTGGGATTTTTATTTATAACCAGACTAATGCCCAGTACAAGCCAGCTTGTGACAACAGATCACCTTTCAGGTTCCTTCCAATCCAAACATTCTACGATACTATCATTCTATCTATTACCATCACCAGTAAAAGAGGCAAAGCTGGTGCCTTCCTTTTACTTCTTCAGCTGATGCTGGTGCAGAGGAGGCATGAGAAAAATAATAAAGCTCCTGCTTGTAGCAGGGTATCTTTAAAACCAAAACATTTCCCTCCTCTGGTCCTGCCCCTCTTCCTTGTGTCCATCCCAGGCCAGTACCCCACAGCTTTGGTGGGAAGGCTCAAGAGAGGGATGTTGCTGGGGAGAGGAAGGTATTGGTGAGGGAAGAAGTGGAAGGCTCTTGATTGCTACAGATTGCCAATGAGATCTTGAAAGCTTTTTATTTCTTCTTTCATTAAACTTTGATGTAAATAGGTCTGGGGCAACAAAGAGGCAGTTGCCAACTTTCTGCATTCTGTCAGTCAAGTGGACAGGGTTGAGGGCTGGATAGAAGCCTTCATTAGGAAGGTAAAGCTCAAAAAGTGTGCACATGGGCTTCAAACCTGCTTCCCTTTACTGTCTTTTTGCAGCAATTCCAGCAGATGGCAGATTTCCCTTGGTGTATGCTAGCTGCCCATATGATAATCACCTAAGCTTCACAGTCATATCACCTTGCCTTCTCCAAGAGCTGAATATGCACATCACAACACAGCTGATCTCTAGGGGTCTGGCCCAGAGAGCAGACCAGTCCCAAAGGCCCCTTCATTTCCAGAGCTATTGGCCCTTTTTTTGTTAAAGTGCACATTGATGATTTAAACTTGAATGTATATGCATTACAAGTCCCATGGGCTTCTCAGGTTCTGCTCCAAATTTTCCCACCATGTAAACTGCAGAATGTTTAGCTCCAAAATTGAAAATTACCCCTATTAGCAATCCTTCATGAGACCATGGTCTTGTTGTTCTTTGCTTTTCCCACACCCCTCGCTTCCAGAACTGGTAGCACTGAAATGTTGATTTGTTATGTTCTCCTCCAGCCACCTGTGAATAAATATCAAAATAAAACCTATGTGGGAAAGAGACCAAATGTGATTTTGTTTCCCATTGAGAAATTGCAAACCTGCCTATGAAAACCATGAACACCTGGGCTTGATGGTGTCTTCTGGCCCAAGCAGGTGATGCCTTAAGGGTTAGCTTTCATATTTTCCAGATTCTGTACTGCATTATTATATAACTCTGAACTTCATATAAAGTGTTAGCAAGTTCTCTTCACAGTTTAGTTAGACGAAACAATCCTTTTCCAGCCTGAGAACCGAGGACACCATTGCAGCTTCAGGTCCAAAAAGTATAAACAACAGTGAATTGAGGAGAGTAATCTGGGAGGATGGGACTTCATAACCTGAAGCTGTAACTGGACAATTAACTCCAGTATGTAAATGGACCAAAACTTATAAAAGTGTGAAAACATGTGACCTGTCATCCATCTTGGGTATAGCCTCGACCAGGCTCTTTTACTGCCCAAGGTCTATTCTTTGAAAGCCTTTTTAAAAAATGCCTACTTTATTCCTTTAACTCTGTCTAGCCTCTGTTCTAGGTAGCTTCTCAAGGCATCACAGAGCAACAACCATCCCTCTTGTGTAGATCTTCTTTTAGACTCATTACAGAGCACAGAGTGGTCTGTATCTTGGATAAATTAAGCTCCTCCTATTTATTCAGGGAAAATAAGTGATTGGGAAAAATAAGTGATGATGAAAAATCGAGCCACAGCCCTCATCAATGAAGAAGGTGCAGTATTATTCTAAGCTATTAAGCATCAAAGATACCACACAGAATTATCCATGAGGTGTTTGGCTGCAAGAGAAGCCTAAGTCAGACCTGGTTAGCTAGGGAATAACCCAATCACAGCCCTGTGAGGGTAAGTTGCCAGATTTCCCTACTCCTAATCTGCCTCTTACTAGTCAAAGATGGGCTATCTTTCAGTGGTGAGTTGAGATCTAAGGAGCATGAGGAGAGCCCTTTCTGGTGCTGGTTACAGGGATGTGAGCAGAGGACCACAGAAAAACATGCCATCTCTGAGCAGATCCTTGTTGGACGAGCAGATCTGCAGGAAAGATCAGACAACTTCATGTAATGATGACCCCTGCACCATTGCTATGAGGGATCATGTAGGATGCTGTGGCTGGTGTGGCACCTCTGTGTTAAGGGTCCTTTAGTGAGACAGAAGGATAAATTTGTCACTGAGACTGGGTACTACTCTTGAACATGCTTTCTAATGCCTGTGCTAAACTGTATGACCATGGTGCATCTGATTTTCTCTGAAAAAGTGAAGAAGAAAATTAAAAGGGAAACTACCTTTTCAGGAAACACACTGCAGCCAAATCAAGGTTCAAATGGGGACATGCAAGCCAGCATCAGGACTTACAAAAGGGCTCAGTGAGTTCTTCATTGTTTGAAGTCTTGAAGAGTGAAGGTCTCCAAAGTGGAAGGCTCCAGTGGCTGTGGGAGCTGTAGGGTTGCTGTTGCAGCAGTTTCTCCAGGTTCTTTGCAGATGGTCATAAAGGATGGTCATAATCAATCTTGTTGGTCTTAGACTTGGGGATGCCTTCTCTAGTCTGCAAGGCTAAATTCATTACCACCCCAGCAACTTTTCTTCTCCATTGCATCTTCCACCAGAGAAACTCAAAATATTATTACCTCAGTAACTGTTGCTAAAATTAACTATCATCTTTAAAGACTTTTCATGCAAAGAAAGAGGGACTTTTTTTTGAAGTCAGTGAATTATTTTGTCATGCCAATCTGACAAAGCTGCTGCTCAATGAGACATATCTCCACCCAGCCCTTGCCTTTCCTATACTGCTCCTTCATGGCCCCTTGTGCATGGTGGTTCACCAGCAGTGTCTGGAGCTCAGAGGCTAAGATAGATTGAAATGGAAATAAAAGAAGTGACTTTTACAGGGCTTTTATTGCCATCCGGGGAAGTACAATACTGCATAAATGAAATTATTTATGGTTATAACAGCTCTGTGGTCAATGAAAAATAAAAAATACTTTGCACTTACATAGTGCCTTTTATCTAGGAACCTCGGAGCTCCTTGATCACATTAACAAAGCCTCACCATGTTCATAGTAAGGTAATAAATAGAGCATCCCCTGTCACCCTTGAGTCAGGAATGGGAGTGAAGGTGACACATAGACTCTAGGTCTCTTCAGAAGGCTAATCTGAGTCTATTAGAAACCCAGTCTTTTATACACTGTTCCGATACAGATGGACCTGATTGGTTATTTAATCAACACCCCTCACACCATTGGCTAATTAAGAAGACACCCTTTGGTAAACATCTTATGAGAAAACAACTGTTCAAAACACCAGCTGCAAGATTGTTTTAATTCTTTCTCTTAGCTTCTCACAGCTTTTCCCAGAATGATGCCTGGGAAAGTTATCTGTTTCTCTCTCTTTGACTAAACTGTCACATCTACATCCCTCTAATCAGATAAACATACCAAGTCAGAGCACCTTCAGTGGAGAAGAGAGCAAGACAGCAGCTTGAGTTACACACAGCTCTTAGACGGTCTTGGCTTGGGCAAATCATTTAACATCCTTATAATCTCAGTTGTTTCCAGTAAGGTGGATGCTGCCCTTTTGTTCCTCAGGGGTGGGATGTGTTGACTAGCTCACAGTGGGAAGGCTCATTGAGATGCTTGTGATGTGGTTGTTGACTTGCTAATGGTGTGGGAGCATAGCCCCAACAGACCTGCCAGTTGTAGCTCCTGTTGGCTTACTCTGATATCCTCAAAAGGCTGCTGAGCATCATCCCTTTACAGAAATTTGTACAGCTGGGTTTTAGATAAATATACAAATGAAACAGCCCAGTGAAAGTGGGTGGTTTAGGTGCACCAGTGTCAGCAGTGTCATGTGTGAAATGGGTGAATTCCCTGTCAATGGTGTGTATTGGGATCCATCCATCCATGGCCCAGCTATTTGCTCCATGTGGTTTCTCCCATACAGAAACTGCAGATAACTTCATCTGCTCATTGCAACAGCCCTGAGAGGGTACAAGTCTGTGGATTTCCAGTCCTGCTTCAATAGGGTCTGAGAAGTTGTAAGGAGGTTTGGATGGCAACTGTTTCTTTTATCACAGTCACATGTTGATTATACAGCTCTGTCTCACTCTGACCCCTTTCATATTGATGCCTCCTGTCTCTTGAAACTGATCACTGCTTTTCCCTCTGTTTTACAGGGTTACCATTCGTTGCCTCATGAAGCTGAAATTGCGCACACCAAAAAACTGTTCAGAAGGAGGAGAAACGAACGGAGGTAGATGAAACATCTTAAATGTTTTGGTTTTGGTTTTTTTTAATCTACTCTTCTTTGTTGCACATTGTGGTGGTTTGACAGGAGATATGTTTTCTGGGATGTTGTGGTCAGGCCAATTGGTGCTCAGATTTTAATATTGGCACCTAATGTGACCATTGGGGCATTGGATCCGCCTCTGAGAACATGGGGTTAAAAGCAGGGCTTTCCCCCTGGGAGGCTCTCTTGGGTTTCTGGCGGGAAAGAGTTCGGGTCTCTCCCCCGGCCCAGCTGCTGGCTGGGCGGGGGGAGGGGAAAAGCCATGTGGCCGGGAGAGGTAGGCCTGACCCCGGGGGTGGAAGGGTGGAAGAGAGAGAGAGAGAGAGACACCGGGAGCCATCGGGCAGTCCCCCCCCCCCCCCCCCCCCCCGGGAGACAGACAGAGAGAGAGAGCCGGTGCCTGGGACTGTTACCTTGAAACTTGATAAACATGTGCCTGTGCCAGCAGCGCGGCTGAGAAGGAGAAGAAGGAGGGGGGGGGTGTGCAGCCAGCCGCTTGTAGGAGCTCTTAACACCTTTTCAGACAATGAAAATTTTACAGAACATTAACCTTTCCTAGAAGAGAGATAGAGTGGAAGATGAAGAAGGAAATGGGCAAGTGTGAGAGAGGTCTGGGCAAGTGAGAGATGTTGGAAGAATAGAGAAGAATCTTAGTGGGAAGAGATGATGGAGTGGCTTTTGCTGGACTCTTTTTGTATAGCCATGGACAGAACCATGTTCCTTGTGATACAGAGACTGCATCTAGGGGGAGGCAATGCCTCAGAACCAAGAGGGTTCAGTGTTGGTACCCCTAGGCCCCAAGGGGTGAAAAATATGGGGGGGAAGATGTCCCAAAGGAGAGACTGTGCCTTTTTGGAGTGGGACGAAGCATCCTTAAAAGTCGACCCTAGAAGCAGCTCTGGTCCGTGTTCAGTGGTGAGAGCTCTGGACATGAAAGGAAGAGGTCACCATTGGCACAAGAAGGACTCTTTCTCCTCTTGATGAACTGAGGATTGAGTATTCTGAAGGGTGGTGCCGGACCGAGAGTCGATGATTTGGGGCATGTATTGTATTGGGAATTTGGTGGGGAGGAGGAGGAGATGTATTTGTGAAGTTTTCATTTTCCTTGTGTGGTTTTTGGTTTTTTTTTTTTCCTTTCCCTTGTAGTTTAGTTAATAATTTTTTTTTCTTCCTAAGTGGGAGCCTGCTTTGCTTATTCCTGGTCACATCTCACAGCAGAAACCAGGGAGAGGGTATTCTCATGGGGGCACTGGCATTGTGCCAGTGTCAAACCATGACACACATCTTCTCCCATTGTCTCATGGAGTGTCTTTGGACAATACTGCTCTTTAGCAGCTGCCAGCATTGGGTTAATGCATAAACCCTTATTTGAGCACTAATGTTTTGAAAATACAGTCTGTCCATCCCCCTGGTTTGTCTGGGTTATGTCCTATATTGCCCCAGGAGTATCTTAAGGATCTTCTCTTTATACTTATTCCAGCATAGCCAGATTCTCCCAGTTATATTAGAAGAGGCAGATGGCAAGATATTATCTGTAAAAGCTTTGAGTCCTTGGGATTTGCTTCCCCTCTTTCTATTGAAAAGCAAAATTTGCTGACATTCAGGGTTGCCTACAAAGTGGACATGGTTTGGTTGAGAGGGGGTTGCAGAGAGTCTCAGATGCCTGTCTGCTAAATAGGCAGCCAAGTTCCTATGGCACTGGCGATTTTAATCCCTTGAGTTAATTTAATTGGGTCAATTGGATATTTAATTGTGTAAATTGCATATTTAATTATACAAGGGCATATAGAGTCCTTGATAGGAGTCATGACTATGGTTAAATGTGAAAATAAGCGGGAAATAAGGGAGTTAGTTGTACATGCAGCTTTATTTCTGCCAATGTGTTCTGCTGTGGCTGAGACAACTGTTTCTAAAACCAAGAGTTTACAAGGTTAATGTGATTGAACAGGAGAAAAAGTGTCCAGTATTTTCTCCTAGAATCAGCTGAAATCTGTCTTTGAACTGTGATGCCTCACAGGGAGGATTTTCAGAGAAGTCTTATAGACACCTGTAATAGTAGTTGGAGTGTGTCCTCATATCTTCCCATTGCTTCTCAACTCATGAACAGCCATGATGTAGCTAACTCTGTGCGTGGTTTGGTTTTCCTGAATTTTACTAAGCAAACAAAACAAACTGCTGAAAAGAGTTTGCTCAGGCATTCTAGAAACATTCTGTTGTGGGCAGGGCAGTTCTCCAGCAGCAAATTCCATTTCTCTCCTCTTTGGGGTTCCCTCCTTTTTTCTGTATGCAATTTAAAAGCCAATTTAGTCTTGTGATTCAGGGAAAAAAAAAAAAAGGTCTTGTTTCAGCTGGGTTGCAGCCCTGTGATCACCAAAACATGGTTAAAACCAAGCTGAAGTCTGTGTTGCAAGAGCAAACCAGGTGGGCTTTTTCACAGTGCTGGGCTGAACTCTCCAAGAAATTGCAGTGGAGGGTTAGAGGATTCTGCTCCCATCCCAGTTCACCAAGGGGATCTTCCTCTGCCGTATGAAGAGTGCATTATGCTGAGAGAAAGGATACCTTCTGCCTGAACCCATTGCCCAAAACTGAGCTGGACCAGAGACATGGAACTGCATGTTGGTTCTTCCTTCCCATTCAAAAAACCAGACAGTTGGAGGGATCACACTGGATGTGCATTTCTATTTCTATTTCTATTTCTATTTCTATTTCTACTTCTATTTCTATTTCTTTTTCTTTCTGGTCTCTTTAGATAAACCATCAGCAGGAAGCATTCAGCCCCCCAGGGCATCCCTGCCTCTTGCATAGATGACAAGGAGAGATAGCAAAAGAAACTGCCTTGGGCTGGGGTTAGAAGATGGAGGGGTGAGATGCAGCCGAAACCTAGTAGCACTGGGATAATATCCCAGGGGGAGAGACAAAAGCCTTAAAACCCAATTGATACAGCATCATTTGGGGGAGTAGACATGGGGTTGTTTCAACTCTAATCAGTCACAAATGAAATAAAATGGAAAGAGCACAAGGTATGCAGTCCTGTCCAAGTCTTTCACAGTGCTGTCAAAACTTAGAAAAACAATTTTAATTGCAAAAAGCTAAAAAGCTCAGGTAGAGGAAGATGGAGTGAAGCAACAGTCTCTGAAATAATTATTTAAGCAGAAAAGTCATGGTCCCATCCCCTAGACTTTGTCTGGGGACCTCAGCAGCCCTCCTCTCTCCATGCCATGTGATTTGATGCAGGGAGTTTTCAAGGTCCCCTTGTCTCTGTGGTGCATTTGGGACTAGGAGGGGTCCAAGTCTTGGGCTAGTGAAGCACCTTTTGTTTCTCATGCAAAATTATGCTGATGTCCAGCTGTGCTATAAATAGTTCTTGTCCCTGCTTCCTTTCCATCACCTTTCCTCGGGGAATGCTATCACCACATCACAGTGGAGGACAGCTCACCTACCTGAGGTCTTTGTCATGTACCTTTCACTCCCTTGGGGAGAAGCAACCCTATGGGTGTGCAACCATAGTTTTCTCCTTGCATATAGGATATGTTTTTATGTTCCATGAGTAATTTTTCTATGGGATGCATGCTTCATTTGTTGCATAAGATAGACATGAAGAGTGAATTAGAGGTGTTATTAAAACAGTCTTCAACTTTCCCAGTTAAGGACCACTGCAGGTCTGTTGGACACATTTTTGGTAACAGTGATCAACATCAGAGCCACATCTGGTGGAAGGTTTGGTTCCACAGGGTGTTGTAAAAGCCTACATGAGGTGGTGAGGTCCCTACTGCAAAGAGATTATAATCAGGGCAGGAGACCAGGAAGACATATCACCCTTCCTACCTCACCCAGCAGAAATCCTGCACCCAATGTTTTCTCTGTTGACTTAGACACATTAGGTGAAATTGCCACCTCCGGATGAGGGTGATGGAGGGCATCACCGTTTGATGGGATTATTAAAAGAGAGGAGGGGAGGCAAATTTTTCATAGATGTCCATGTGAGCAAGTGTCAAACACCAGTGAGGGTTTTATTGTGCCAAATGCTATTCCACTGTTTGCTGCCATACAAGATACATCCTACGAAGATATTACCACGGGCAACTTGATTTGACATACCATAGGCAACTACTCTAGGGAAGGAGGGAGTTTTCCTGGGCAGTGGCAGGACCTCTCCTGCAAGAAAAAATATTCTGGGAAATGAGGCACAACAGACCCATTTCTCAAATTGTTTCCTCAGACCATTCCCAACCCAATGCCTCTCTACTAGCAGACCACAAGCTGTGTTTGAATGTTGTCTCCTTGGGCAGGTGGGCTCTGAGTTTGGCTTTTTGTTTTTCAAAAAGTTCCCAAACCCACCATTTCTTAAGTATATATTGAAGCCTTGCAAGTCAACTTGGTGCTGCACAGGGTTTCTCCAGATCCCATGGCATCCTGGTATGATGTGTTTTGGGATGGAAGGTTTGGCTGCCCAAACCCCATGGCCTAAAAAATGTGTGAACAGAAGTTTACACCAGCCTTGTAGGAGCGATAAGAAACCTTGTTCAGTTTAGATAGGATTTGCAAAGAATATATGGAGTTGCAACAGGTTAAGACAGGTGAGTTTGTACCTACTTGGTCTTCTAGTTAACAGAGTACTGAAATGGTTCTGTGTCACCTAAAGAAGGGGACAGTTTTGCTGAAGACCAGGAAAACGTTGCTGGGGAAGTCTTAAAAAGTTTGTGCCATCATAATCATATTGATTCAATCACATCTTGTTGGACTCAAAAGTCAAATCAAGCTGAATACCTTATCTAAAGGAAATCCTCATGTGTGAGTAGATGCTGGCTGGTATCTCACGAGGCTTTTATCGGTCAATCTATGGGCAAGGACAGGAGAAGATGACAGAGGGAAGCACAGCCCCATGTCTTGGGGAGAATGGAGTAAAAGACTGAGTTTATCAATCCCCTCTTTGCAAAAGACATCTGATTTCCCCTTTTCATTAG